TAAGGCGCTTGGAAGTAGTATCAGCTAATTGGTAAAGGGCATGCTTGTCTCCAAGTAAGAGCGTATAGCTGCATGTAAGTGTGCATTTTTTAATTCTTTTTGGTGTACTTTCCCTGTTTATGCAAGCTGTTAGCCTAAATAGAAAAATAAAAATATGAAGTTTCTTCGTACTGCAGGGCTGGCTTGGGTTTGAAATCTCACTTGGTGTATTGCAAGCTCACTGTTGCATTAGTGAAGCATGGGACAGCCGGGGGCAGCCAGGCACTCCCCGTTCCGATATCCCGTACCTTGCCTGCCGCCGTGGAAGAGCCTTGCAGTAAGTCATTGTGGGATAACCCATTTTCCCCCCCCGTTGTCACATAGGCAGGAGGAGAACGGTGTCAGGGCTGTAGGGCCGGCACGTTCCGGTCTCAACCCCCTGGTCGCGAAAACCGGGAGCCATCCCGCACTGGGCCGTGGCTCCTTTCTGCCTGGCATTTGGGGGGAGTCCCTTTGTCAAAAGCAGAAGACAGTGGGAGCAAAACATGCTTGGATTTTATTGTAATAGGGAGTCGGGGTAGGCTGGTGCAAATCTGGAGGCAAAGAAGTGCTTTGGCACATTCACGGTAGACGTAGCCACCGCTAAAGTGGGATCTGGGTGTGATTTGAGCTCTGGACTTTTCTGTCTGTTTAAAGGCTTGTCATTATTAACAGGAGAAAACCCATCCCTTTTTGATACCTGTAAGAAAACAACTCGTTTCTGATTCTTGCCCTAAACGTTTCCCTCAGTTTAATAAATTGCTTCATAAAAAATAATTCTTTGTAAACAAATTCCAGTTTTCTCCAGTTGCGATGACGCCAGGGGAATGTTGAGATCTTTCTGAAGCCTGGGTATGACTGAACGCAGCCAGAGGAGTAGGAACGGGGGCTGAGCCTCAGCCCTGGCCGTTTAGGTTTGCCGTAGTGCTGTGGAGCATGCAAAATTTGTCACTCTTAAATATATTTACACCAGTGTAATCGTGTAGGAGTAACATAGAAACATATGCTGCCGGTGTAATCATTTTCTGCTTCCGGTTTTGCTCATGTTCCTGCTTGGGAAAATGTAATAATACTGTTTATAATTTCTTTAATGTAGGCAGGGCTTGACTTTACCTTTTTGAATGACGGTAATTTGTTTTTCCTCTGGGAATGAGTAAGTGGAAGTTGCTACCAAAGTACAGAATAACATGTATAAAATATTTAAAGTATGCGTAGGATTTTTCTTTAAATTAGGATTAGATGTCTTCTACAGGGTCAGTGACAGTGAATTTTTGTGAACTTTAGGCCTTTGGTGTCGTTTTCTGCTGTAGGTCTTGCCTACAGGATCAGATGATTAGGAGATAAATCCTGTTTCTTGCAACATCTGAAATATCTTACCACATCTACAGTAAGCGAATCATTATGGAACCAAAGAAATGGCATTGTCTTACGTATTTGCTCTTGGGTTTTGATACAGAAAGTTAAAGATCGGAAACCCCTGGCATTTCCCGCATTAATTAGGACTTGCTAAGAGGTGTTGTGGCTTGCAATCACATTTGATGACTCCTGTGATACTTGGCAGCTTTAAAACACAGCGTTTGACAAGAGCCCAAGGCCTTTGGCTCTTGGATTTTTGTTTTGTTTTGTTTTGTTTAAACAAAGGCAAAGGTGTCAATAAACACTGGCGAGGCAGCTATGAAAATTGGATTTTATTGTTGCAGTGTTTAAAAGGAGGGCGCTCTCACCTGTTCCATACAATATAATGCATGGTTACTGAACAAATCAGCAAGATTAGCATGGTTGAAACTCAATGTTTGTAGTGAAGCGCTTCTGTTTCTAAAGCATTTTTGAAGCTTTGGCAGGTTTTGATGGGATTTGTTTCTCTTCCAGTTCAATTACTGCTGATTCTTGGTCAAGCCTGTGGCCTGGTCACACGCGGGAGGGTTTTCTGGAACCAGGCCCATGAGTTTCACCTCTTCTCTGTCCTAAGTTAACACAGAACATCAAATGGGAGCAGTAGTCTTCAGATTTAATCTGAAAATAGAGGGTACGCTTTCAAATGGACTTGTCCACGTGGTAACTTCTAAAAATTGCGAGTGGCGCTTTAGCAGCAGCCTAGGTGCAAGGAATCCACACAATGAGATTTTATTAAATGGTGCAGCAGGGCTTGAAGGTTTGTAGCTAAAGAGGAAGGAGCAGAAGCACGTGCATTTAATTTGCACTTTGGCTTGTCAGTTTGAAATCCCTTTCAAAAAGGGAGTCCCTAAAGAAAAAGTGAATTAAGTTTCACCTGGGGTTTTTTGTGCCTTTGAATTTCTCACCTAACTGATGTGGTTTGCAACCACATCTTCTCAAAAAGAAAGAAAGAAAGAAAAAAAAAAAAAGCAGCACTTCCCCCTCCATTCGCTCCCCACCGCCTGGGACAGTGGTCAGCTGGCAGCCTGTCCTGGTTTTGGCTGCAATAGAGTTAATTTTCTTCCTAGCAGCTGGCGTAGCGCTGTGTTTTGGATTTAGTATGAGAATAATGCTGATAACACGCCGATGTTTGAGTTGTTGCTGAGTACTGCTTATGCTAGTCAAGGACTTTTCAGCTTCCCATGCTCTGCCAGGGGCACAAGAAGCTGGGAGGGGGCACAGCCAGAAGAGTTGATCCCAACTGCCCCAAGGGCCATTCCATACCATACGGCGTCATGGGCAGTATAGAAACT